GAGAGAGAGAGAGAGAGAGAGAGAGAGAGAGAGAGAGAGAGAGAGAGAGATGGAATTATGCAGGCACACACACATACAGAGCGAGATAACGAATATAAGCATGTGTGCAAGAGAGGGAGAGAGAGAGCAAAGCAGGGTGTCATGAGACAAAGACATAGCAAGTTAGCAGAGAGACGGATTTACGCGGGCACACAGATACATGCTGAGCGAGGTACAGCATGTATGCATGTGTGTGAGAGAGGGAGAGTGAGAAAAAAGAGGGGTGAGCGAAAGACATTGCAACGTGGCCGGCATGATGTGAATTAGGGAGGGGCAGATGACAACAGAGACTTGTTTTCTACGGTTTTTTTTTTGGAGATCATGGTCATGGAGTGTACCCTTAGGAGATGTGATGAGACCGGACCGATGGGAAACCTGTGCAATACTCCTGACTCTGGAAGCGTCGTCGTCAAGTGCGCCCTTCTCCGAATCTGCACCCGAAGTAAGCACATTTAGAAGATGAATGAATGAAGATATTGGCATGTTGCTGCATTAGCTGACCTTTTACTCGGGTTGTTTTTGTTATTAAAAAAAAAAAAAAAAAAAAAAATCTGACCTGTCAAAAGAAGAAGGAAGAAGGAAAAAAAAAAAAAGAAGAAGAAGAAGAAGATGACCTGGAAATTGTCGAGCGGGTTTATTTAATAAATTAGTATTTGGCTTAAATTAAGACAAATACATGCAGACAATCATACTAATTCCAGAAATTAACTGCAATGTCCCTGAACTTTCTGATGAACGATCGCAAACAATACATGTCAAGAATGCACCTGGACGCTATTGACGGTAGGGTGTCTGAAAATTTCACACAAGATCGGAGAAAAATGTACCCGGATGCTATTGATGGTGGGGTGCATGATCCGCACATTAGGTATACAGATGTAGATAACAACATCAAGGTAAATTCCTTTTTCTGAATTTTTTCCCAATTGTTATTCCCCCTGATTGACCTCATGGAACCTTCTGGGACCGTCTGGGACCATCTGGGACCGTCTGGGACCGTCTGGGACCGTCTGGGAGCTTCTGGGACCGTCTGGGAACAAAAGGGACATTTAATTTCCAGTGTCAGGAGGTCGAGTCCAGTTAGGGAGTTTGCACGACGGGCCTGGTACAGAGAACGAACCTGGTACAAACTTGTAAAGGATGAACCTCGTGCACAAGAATGAACCTGGTAAAAAGCATGGACCTGGTACAACAACCAAGCCTTTCAGGACCTTCTGGGACCGTAAGGGACCTTTTGTCTCCAGTGTGAGGAGGTTCCATCCAGTTAGGGAGTTTGCACGTGCGTGTGCAAAGCACGAACCTGTTCCAAAGAACAGACCTGGTACAGAGAATGCACGTGGTAGAAAGCACGGACCAGGTACAGAGAACAAACCCCGGTACAAACCTATGAGCTGTGTGAGGTGGCTGCTCAAAAGCCTATCAGATCGGAACAATGGCTCAAACGCCTGCTCTTTTGCCCACACATCCCATGGAAAGAGCTGGCCTTGGAACAAATCTCTAGATTGGCCCCAGAGACACCGGCCCACATCAACCCACTCATATGTGTTGAAAACAGAGAATGGCCAATCCCGAGACGACGGTCCCGACAACCCCCCCCCCCGGGCTGATTCACCGAGGCAAGAGGCAAGAGACGGCCTACACAACGACCCCCTCTGGCCAACCCTTCTACAGATATGGAAGAACCTCCCCCTGCCAGACAAACCCCAACCAGAAAGATGGGAAGAGGTAGCCCGACAGCCGGTATTTGGGAATAGAGGGATAACGAACTCCAGGGGTCAAGTTCTTCATTGCATGGAGTCCCCTGGAAAGGATGGGTGAAAAGGGGGATTCTTACAATAGGGGATATTTGGGATGCGGACAGGAGGGATTGGATCAATCGGGACCAGCTCACAGAGAAACTGCGATACTGCCATAGACCAGAGGAAGCACTAGAACGTATAATAGAACGTGTCCCCCTGAGTTGGTGGAAAAATTCTTAAAAAGTGACCCTCATTACAATAGTCCGACTGGGTAGCAATCGAGGGCCGCCGGGGGGAGGTGGTAGCAATACAGGGCCACCGGGGGGAGGTGGGCAACGTGGTGTGCTGTAATCCTACAGGGCCAGTTGTGGTAGATACATTCACGGTAGATAATGACAATTTCCTCCAAAAGACCAATCCCGAACAGATACAGTTCTTCAGGGAGGAGGAACTCTCAAGAATCAGGGTGCTGCGGGTGAAAGATAGATGGATGGCGTTTTCTCCAGACACACCAATATCCCAACTGCCTCTAGACCCATCAGAGTGGGTATGGACAAACATAATCGGTAGGGGAAAGATCAACACTAGAACACTGTACAATATAACCATGAAGGCAACGTACAGACTGCTCCGACAAGAAATCAACCAGCGCGACCAGGTGGAAACGAGATGGATGAAACATCTGAATGTTGGCAATGAATCACTAAGAAACGTGAAATGGTTCCAGCTGACCAAGAGGAAAGTTGAACCCGCGAATCTCGCTTCCCTGCAATGGCAGGTGGAGCACCGGTGCCTACCAATCAATAACTGGCTGATAGACAGGACGACGCTCGAACAGAGAGGACTCGCCCTCCCCTGGTGGGGACTATGCTCCAGTGCATTCCCATCAAGGGGAAAAAACTGAAACAATAGAACACATCTTTCTACAATGCCCCGGAGTGGTTTGGCTCTGGCGATGGTGGGATAGGATCTGGGACCAGCTTGGAACAGGGGCACCCTGACCATGGGACTGGAAAGCCTTGCTGTTTGAGAGCTGGCCCAGCGAAAAGCCTGACGACTTCACTCTCAACATGTTCAAACTGGGACTCAGGGCAGTACTATGGGCACTCTGGAGATGCCGTTGCACCTATGAGATGGAGGGCGTGAGGTTGGGAGGGCTGGAATTTACGGAGAGTATACAACAACAGATTCATACAAACATAACAACACGGTGGGAGGAAGTCAAATCACACATCAGCCACGTATACACATTGAACGAAATAAAGCAAAGGACACAAGAATTCTGCAAAAGCTGGCTTGGAGGGGAAACAAGGAGGAGGATAGGAAAGGTGGAATGGAAAAGGGAAAAAGGGGGACAAGGGAGGATGCAGGACAACAAGTGGATAACCAGAGTCTACAAACGGGGGAGGGGAAGTAATCATTTGACTTACCGTTGACTTAATCAGTGTGAACGGCTGTCGGAATGCATTCTTAAACCTCGGAGCAACAGATTGCAGAACTCTGACAAGCTCAGGATTAGACACCTGCAAGGGGAAAAAAAAAAAAAAAAAAAAAAAAAAAAGGCATCAGACACCTGCACTATGGGTCAACCACATGCATACCATAGCACGGGAGAGGGTTTGTAATTCTTTTTTTTTTTCCCTTTTTTATTTTCTCGTTTTTTCTTTTTTAGGGGGTTGTAATATTATCCAAGCCACAAAATCACAAACAACAGAGAAGGGGGGGGAAAAGACGCTTGTCCTTCGGGACGGCCGTTAAATGTGGAACTATATAGAGAAGGAAGATTAGCATGGCCCCTGCGCAAGGATGACAGCATAAATCTAGAAATGATCCACAAAAAAAAAGGCAAATAATCGATGACCCTAGCTCAGCGATGAGCTGTTGAAATACAGACCTGCGTTCCAACTCAGATGGAACTACGTAAATTAAATTAAATTAAATGATTCTGAATTACCTGGGGCCCATTAGTTCAACTATGGTACCTCTCGCTGGGGACCATTAGCTCCACTATGGTAACTTGACGCCCGCCCCTTGAAATAAAATAAAAGCGAAAGGATGCAGACGCCATGCCTCTCTGACTCTCTAAGCAACTGCCTAAGAAAAGGGAAAAAAAAGGGAAAAAAAAAAAAAGACTGTCTGACTCTCAGGGGCTACCATCTTCTGTAAACTGTTCTGAATCTGTCTCTTATACACATCTAGATGTGTATAAGA